ACATTGTCGGTGGTTAGCTCGGTTCCCCGTTTGGGTCCAAACGAGCAGGTTATGTTACAACATCCCACCCCAGAGCCTGGGGGATGAAGGCAGAGCATCTCCCACCCACCCTCCCACTGCCCCAGGAGACACCAGCCCCACACCTGGGGGGGCTCTGCCATCCAAGGCCTCCTGGAAGGGGGACAGGAGGATGGTGCTGGGACAGCCAGCCTGGAGGGGACAGCAGCGGGGCTCCGTGCCAGGGCTGCCACACCTCCTCACACAGCCACCAGAGCCCCCCCAGGAGCTTTGCAGGGCTCCGAGTCCAGTCCCAGCACCGAACTGGGAACCAGCTGCACGCTACTGGTGCGCTCCTGCCTGGGCAGGGACGTGTCCTGTGCAGACAGAGGTTGAAATACATCCCTCCCTTCCCATCCTGCCTCCTGTGGCCCCGTGTGGCCAGCAGCCACCGACGGCGAGTGCAGCGGCAGTCTCGGTGTCCGGGAGGTTGAGGAAATGTCCCAAAATCCACAGAGGAGAGATTGTACAGCAGCAAAGCCAAGTCCAGCGCCTTGAAAAGCAAGGCGCAGGCTGCAGTGGTGCCTCGGGGCTGGTTTGCCTGTCCCCTCGGCACAGTCCTTGCCGTGGTTCTCCTGGGGGTTGTTTTTGGTTTCAGTGGCGCTGYGGAGGTGCCGCGGGTCCCTGCCTGTCCCCCACCGCGGGAGCAGTGCCGTGGCTGCTTCAGGAGACACAGAAACGAGGCGTTTTGGGGCCCTTTGCGGGTAAAAAAAGGGGCGCTGCTTTGTTTCACGCAGTCTCTGTASGTGAGTTAAACACAGGGCTGACATGCCAAAAAGCTCCGGTTCGGACACTGCAGACCGGCGCGCCCCGGAGAGCATCACCGAGCATCACCGACCCGGCTCGTCGGCCCCATGCCGGGGCTGAGGAGAGAAAAGCGCCCCAAAAGCTCGAAATCCGCATGAAAACGTGCCCCCGCTTCGAGAGCATCGCTGCCTCCCTCCCACCTGCCAGGCACAGACACAAAAAGCCGCCTCCTCCCGTCCCTGCGGGGTCTTACTCAGAGCCCGGCGCATTGTCAGACACCTTTCCGCATTTAGAAGGAGACGATACCGGCACCTATATTTAGAGCAGGTACGGCATCGCTTTCCCCGGCCCCCAGCACCACCGCGTCCCTGCTCCCCGATCCCACGCGGTCCCACGCTGCCCGTCAGACCCGGCTCCCCCAAATCCCGGCACAGGGAGCAAAGCTCCAGCAGCTTCAGGGTGAAGCCACGAACCGCTCACGGACGGCTGGAAGGGAACGGGAGATGGCCGTGTCACCAGCCAGCACCAGGGACCTTCCCCACAGCTGCGTGGGACACGGCTTGTCCCCAAGAGTCGAGAGGGGGGATACAGGATCTGAGCCAAAGCCATGGAGAGGGCTGCCTGTGGAATTTYTGGATCCCTGGGCAGGTGGAAAGGTCAGTTTGGGAAGCACAGGGTTAGCAGGGACAGCAGAGGTGCCACCCACCAGCAGGGACCAGAGGAGGCGGGAGGAGCTTTGTGCCCGGTAAGTGAAACCTGGGCACGCAGAGGGCACTTTGACCATTAGAAAGAGGGGTTTTGGCCCATGCACGAGCCCCGGAGCAGGAAGCCTTTGGAGCCAGTGGGATTTGCTCCTCACAAAGCAGAGCTCCTCCGGGGAGCTCACGAAGCGATCAGGGGCTGATCTGCACATGCAGGGGCAGGGCGGTTTGTGCCCAGAGCATCTTTTCGTCAGGAGAGGACACGAGCTACCCAGGACCACAGCAAAGCCTGCCCAGAGCTGCTGCTCAGCCGGACAGCAGCCCCAAGGCCCAGACCACAAAAACCCGCAGCGAAGCGAAGCCACGGGCAGGGAGAAGGCAGGACAAAGGGCCGTGCTGCCTTTACCTGCCCATCCCCATATCCCGTCTCCACACACACGGACACGCCCGGCCCGACCGCACCGAGCATCCCGCAGCCTTTCCCTGAGGCTCCAAAGGCACAGCAGCACCTTCCAGCTGCCCAGGACCCGTGACAGACACAGCTCGGAGCAGAAACACAGCACGAAGTCACCAGGGCGAGCCACCCAGCGCCACGGGCCACCAGCATCTCCCCGGGCTGGCAGGCGCAGCGCTGCACACACAGCCCGGGGCGTGCACGGATCGTTAAAAGCTGACAGCGCCTAATTACCAGGTTAATTAATGAGCGGCGCTGGAAGGTGGCCCTGCGTTTTCGGTGTTTGCAGGAGGGCTGAGCTGAGCCCTCCTGCAGCGCTCCTCTCCCGATGTCCCCCCGGCTCTCGGACACCCCCTGCTCCCTTCCCAGGGCTGTGGGGTTTGCAAACCCAGCCCCCCATGGCCAGGCACCGGGAGAGGGCAGAGCCCATGGCTGCAGGGGAAACTGAGGCAAGGGGTGCCACAGCCGGACTCCTCTGCCAGGAGGACAGATCTTAAGGTACCTCATGCACGCACAACATCTTCTCTCCCCTGCGGGCATGGATATCTTCTTTTCCTGGGAAAACACACAGCAAAGAGGCCTCTGAGAGGTTTGCCCTCAGCCCCTCGGCACTGCTGGTGCCAAGTGAGCCGTAACCTCGGGGACAGCTCTGTCCTCACGCCTTGGGCATCCCGCTGCCGCAGGCACCCAAGGGTCCCCTCACCACAGCCATCTCTGACGGGGAAAATGCCATTCCCACGCTGGAAACACCTGGGACAGGGAGCAGGGTGATGTTCCCGATGCTCTGCTACAGCGACGGGTGTGTGCAGCCCCTCCCGGGGGGCTCAGTCCCGCCCCCACCAAAGGGGGTGCAGGCAGCAGGAGCCCCAGGGGGCTCCCCAGCATTGTCAGGTGATTAAAACAAATCCATGTATGTGTATATCTTTATATATACAGCATATAAATATATATACACACACACACCCCGTATATACACACACAGGCACACCTAGAGTTCTCCGTATATAAATAAATATATGTCGGTGGCAGACAGGATACATTTGGCAGCACTGAGCCCCCCAGCCCCAGYACAAACCAGTTCTGCCTCCTCTGGCAGACAGAGCTGCTCTGGTCTGTCTGGGTGCATCCCAACCCCATATCCCCTGCACCCCACCGTCACACCCTGCCCCTTTTCCGGGCAGGATGAGACCCTCAGGGAGGGTGATTCAAAGCCACAGCAGCACAAGCCCAAGCGACAGAGCAAAAGGGGCCCCTTGCATTCCTTTGCTGGGGTCTCCGGACGCAGGGAGCAAAAAAACCATCGGGATGAGCCTTGCCGGGGGTCTCTCCTGGGGCAGGGAGCGGGGTGCGGCCGGGAGGGGCTTTCTCTTGTCCCCCAGCACACGAGCCCGGCCGGGCCGCTCCACCGCCCATCAAATACTTCTCTGTGCAGAAAAAAAAAGTGATAGTAATAAATGAAAGTCGACAGATTTTAATTTTTTTTTTTTGCACAAAGACTTTTTTT